TGTAATGTTTCCTGTTTTCTTTTGCAAGTAATACTTTATAGTGTCAATGCCTCACTGGTGGTGTCACCTATGACATTTTGGCCTTTTCATTCTGCTCCCATACTTCCCTCCAGAAACTGGCCAGGCTTCTGGCTGCTGATGTTTCAATGCTATCTCCTTGGTTCACTGTAGGAAAGTTTGTTGGGTCAGATATCTGAACTGGATCCATGCATGTGTATCATATTCACCTGACCTGAAGGGCCTCCCATAATCCCTCCTGCTGGGGATCATTTCAGCTGTCTCCACATGAAGTTGGCCGCAGTTGGCCTGAAGGCCAGCTGGGATTGCGCTGTTTCTGGGGGGAAGCAGTGTCTGCCACTCCGGGTTCTGGGAATACAGTGAGGAGAAGCCTCAGCTGTTTCTTCAGAGGCAACTTTGGTTCAACAGAATTTATGATCTCTGGCTCTGCTCGGAGGTGCATGTACTTTTTCCAGGCCAGGCACAGTCTTGCAAGAAACGTTTGTAAAGTGGTGGGTTGCTGAAGATTTGAGGGAAGGCTTTTTATCCCCTGCAAATAAAACAATTTAGGAATGGCATTAATAATTAGAATTATTTCATTTTAGCACATGAAAATGGTATTTCCTTTGTTTTAGTATTGAATGACCACTTAGAAAACTGGAGGACTGCAAAATTGCAAATCACACACAGTACTCTTGGTAAAACTAGTTGGCTTCACTGATGCCCATACCACTGTGCACTTCATGACTTGTCGGGAATGAGAAACAATAGAGCCTTGGGTTTCCCAGTCATCTTTGTCAGCAACTTCAATGAGGAAAAGGCTACAAATAAAGTGGCTGCTGGTGGCTCTCTGCCCCACAGGCATGGTGTCACAGGGCCATGAATTGCAGAGAAATAAATCCCTGCTTGTCCTTGCTGCTGCCTCCTCTGGCTCCACCTCGCCTGTGGGAAGGGATAATGGTACTGGGAGGGGGGGAAGACAGATAGATCATCTTTGAGCTTCAGAGGTCAGTTCTAGGAGTGGCATATAACAGGTCTAACTATGGTTTTCCTTGAGAGATGAGAATCCTTGTGTGCGGAAAATATCGTTGAGAAGGAAAGAAATCCAAACAAAGGAAATAAATACAGAGCAGGCACTTTGCCAAGGAGCAAAAGGGAAGACAGGAAGCAGGGAAGAAAAATGTCAGAATCTGCTGCTGCTGAAGTCTCCCACCTAATCTTTCTACCAAAACACAGCTGGCAACCCCAGGGGAAGAGACCCCCGTACAACAGATATCACCTCCAAAGACTGTATTTCTCCTGACTTGAGAAGAACAAATTCTATTATCAGGAAATTATCTGTTTGGCTACAGCTATTAATCTACCAATGGCATTCAGGAGCTCTAATTATCTAACTCTAACCTTTCATATTTCGTTCCTCCTTCCGCTTCCTCTTTAGTCTCCCCTTGCACCCTCTGCCAATGTATCTGTCCCTGACAACTCCCCAGACATGCTGTGCTCGTTACCTGAATGCTTATCTCCAGGCTTCTCTGCAACTGTAGCCCTGTTTACCTTTCTCAAATACTTATTTACTAAATAGCAATAAAAATTACTTCTAGCAACCATAGAAAACCCTAATCTTAGCATTTTAAAACAGGATGCTTTCTAGACTAGGTGTTAAAGTCTTCAGGACTCCTATTTCTGTAGTGGTACTCTAGTACAGGGGGTCCTTTGATTCTTATGCCTGTTCAAGCATTTCTGAAACGTGAACATTTGAGGGTTTTTTCTTCTCCATTTTATTGCTACTGATTAGTTTGCTAACAAATTTTGGATACCAGCTCACAAGCCCAAGGTACAGTGTTCTACAAATGAACTTGGATGAACCTAGCAGAGCCTGCTTTATGCAGCTCTTCCTAAATGAAGGCTGCTTTGACAGTGTTTAGAGATTCCACAGTTCATATGAGGCTACACTGTGCTTCTGCCAAAGGCTGGAACATAGTTTGGGGTGGAGCACAGCCTCCTCTTTCAGTGTATAGGTGCCAGATTTTTTTAAGCATATAGTGTGCTTTCTTTATTAAAATGGCAGTATGCTTAGCTCAAAAGAAGTACTTCATTCTAAAACTCACTGGCACCCTTTTGGTAGCAAAAGTGGTGGAGTACCATTTCAGTTTTATTTGAATTTTAGGACTTTGAACAGTTCTAAATATCAGGAATCAGTGGTTATGATTCCTGGGATACACAGCTGCAGCGTTCCAGTACAAGATTGTCTGCCATGGTTGGCAATACTTTAATGAAGTTGTTCTGCGTATATTGATGAAAACTAATAATAATTTCTTAGTCATTAATAAATTGCATAAATATGGTCAGGTTATATTTCAGTGTTAGCTGTATTTCTATTTACTTCTATATGAATTTTCTTTTTGTGGATTTTTTTTTTTAGATATGATTCCTAGTTTGGAATAATAACCTAACTTATTTTCTAGGCTAAATTATACAGGGAAGAGCTCATCACTGATACAGATAATAATGAAGAGACAAAAGAGTAGACAGAAAATAATGGACTAAGGCTGGTTAGCGAAGTAAAGTGTACAGAATAATAAACTGTCACTGAAGCATTTTAGAGATTTTCCATATTTAAATGATACTCTTTCAGTTTCACAAGAAATTTTGGACAAATAATAGTAACTTTTACAAATTCAGTAGATATTTACATTTTTCTCACTATTTTACCTTTTTCTATCTTGTAATTATTTTCACCTGCTCTCATGTTGCTATAGAGAAATACTTTATTCCTATTTCTACATGCTTCTCAAAATTCTTTCTCTGGTGCTTTTGATCAAGAGGAATAATGCACTTGGCATACTGGGATTTTACTGGGTGATTTTCCCAATATTTCTCCCTCAATAAAGCGTAGCTTTTCACTTATGAGAAGAGGAAAGGAGACATTACTAAATGGAGTTTTAAATTATTTTTCTGGTATAGTATTGTAAATCATGAGCAGCCTTGGTTCTATAAAGTCCTGGGATTGAGCCTCTTAGTTTTCCTGAGGTGTTTAACCTTTAGTAGGATAAAGATTAATGTTTCCTTCCTTTTGTATTTTAACCTGCCCCCTCACAAGATTTCAAATAGCAAAATGAACTATTTTTCTTCAGCTTCTAGTCAGAAGCAAGATAACCTACAAAAACAACATCCATCATGTGCATGTGAGGAATTACTGTTTGAATGGAGGCACAGAGAAGCTCATATTCATTTCAATGGAGAGGGAATTGCAGCTTTATTTGCTAGAAATACAGCTAGGACCTGTACTTCACCAATAATCTTATCAGATGTTACAATATGTTTAGAGGAATAGCAAATGCCCTTGCTGTCCTTCCAGTCTCATGGAAGCACTCCAAATTCAGACATTCTGCAGCAAAACATGTTGAGAGGTATCTGTAGTGGTCCTACACAGCTCTGCCTCTGGACGTGTGCTGCAGATCAGACATGCTTGATTTTTGCTTTGAGCCATGCACATTGGTTCACTCTGTCTGATATGTAATCTCTCCGAAACTCTCCAGCTTCTGCCTGTTCGGTAGAGCAGTTTGGACTGGTAGATAAGCTTATTTTTTTCCTCTGAAAATTCCTAATTCCTCTAACAATAGACAGTGGAAAGCATCAAATCCCTGACCTGGCAGTGGTTGAAAGTTGGAAATGCTTTGCTGGTAAATGGTAAAATCAACAATGCAAGATTGATGGACAGCCTAATATGGACTATGTGCCTAAGTTTTGTTATCTAAGTAATGTTTTCCATGAACAATTAATATTCTAGGAGAAACACTTGCTATGTTCTGTATCAACCCAGACCATAGCTACAACAGTAATTTGCTGAGGCCTTCAGCAATGTCAGGAGTCTTGCAGGGAATGTGCTGCCTGTGAGCTGTGCTGAGGAAAAACTACAGCAGATCATACTGGATGTGGAATCACACCTTATATAAGAAAGATTTTTTTCCTGTATTTTGTTAATATGACCTGTGAATGAGAAATGGGGCTTTGTGTTTGCACTCCTTTTCTACCTAAGTGACTAAGAAATATGGTTTAGGCCTACTATACCATTTTGTATCCTAAATTTGTTAACAAATGAGACCAGCACAAAAAAATTGAAGAGGAAAGCTCTATACTGTTTTAATCTATAGTGAGAAAAGAAACACTAGAACCACTCCACTTACCTCAAGAAGGTAACTGAGACTGTGTTATGAGAGAGGGGTCAGCTGAATGATTGATTGTATTGACAAGGTATTGACACATTGACTTAGAAGAATTTGAGGAAGACTATCCCCTATTATTTCAGTCATAAAGTAAAACATCTTTTAAGCAAACAACACTGGTTACAGAAATCAATCTTCTGGATTCTTCATTCATGGAGTCACTCATTACAAGCTCTGGAACATTTTTGTTTTGTTGGCTGTGGGCCTTTTTTTCCACTGCTTGGCTTCCCAAGAATGATCAGATAATTAGATCTTATCGCTCAAGGCCACTCCAGCTACCTCCCACTTCTGCAGAGATGTGCACAGTATTTGGGAAGCAGAGGATAATCACAGACAGACTGATAGATATGAGTGAAAAAGGAGAAGATAATCTTTCACACTCCTTATATTTATCACATTCTGTGACCCATCTGTATCACACATAATGCTTCTTTTGCAAGCTATTGAGTTCTAGCCTAGACTGATGTGGTTTGTTGTTCCTTTGTCTTAGTAGTGCCTTGGTTCCATTGCAGTGCTATGTCCAAGCTTGTCTTTCTGAGGGTGGATTTCATGTGCTGCCAAAAGTGAAGTAATGAAAATAGGTAAGAAATGACAAAAAAAGATTTGCTTATAGCCAGATGGGTAGAAAGTATTTCAAACAATGGCTGCAGTTGTGCAAATGAGCTCAAGGTTGAGCTCAGCTTTGAAAGAAATCGATGATCTGAGAGAAACCCACTTTCCATCACTTATCAGCAGTCCTGGCTAATGGGGGAGGTCCCAGCTGGCAGAAGGCTGCCAAATATGGCAGCCATCTACAAGAAGGGCCAGAAGAAGGATCCAGGGAACTACAGGCCAGCCAGTCTCACCTCAGTGCCAGGGAAGATTTTTTTAACAGATAATCTTGCCACCATGTCACACACGCAGGACAGCAAGGCGGTCAAGCCCAGTCAGTGCGGTTTTATGGAAGGTTGGTCCTGCTTGAATATCCTGATCTCCTTCTATGCCAAGGTGACTCGGTGGGTGAGGGAAGGGCTGTGGATGTTGTCTACCTAGACTTTAATAAAGTTTAATGAAGTTTAATAAACCGACTAGATGTCTGGGCCCAGGGAATTGCGGTGAATGGAGTTAAATGGTGGCTGGTCACAAGTGGTGTTCCCCAGGGCTCAGTTTTGGGGGCAGTTCTCTTTAATATCTTTATAAATTATATGGATGAGGGGATCAGGTGCATGCTCAGTGAGTTTGCATACTTGCTACTCAAGGGTAGAGAGAGACTCTAGAAAGGGATCTGGACAGGCTGGATCAATGGGCTGAGGCCAGTTGTATAAGGTTCAATAAGGCCAAGTGCTGAGTCCTGCACTTGGGTCACAACCCCCAGCAGTGCTACAGGTCTGGGGAAGAGTCACTGGAAAGGTGCCCAGTGGAGAAGGACCTGGGGGTACTGCTCAACAGCCAGTTGAATATGAGTCAGTAGTGTGCACAAGTGGCCAAAAAGGCCAACAGCATCCTGGCTTGTATGAGAAATAGTGTGGCCAGCAGGACTAGGGAAGTGATTCTCTTCCTGTACTTGGCTCTGGTGAGGTGGCACCTCAGATACTGTGTTCCCTTTTGGGCCTGTCACTACAAGAAGGACATTAAGGTGCTGGAGCATGTCCAAAGAAAAGGAACAAAACTGGTGAAGGGTCTAGAGCACTAGTCTTAGGGGGAGAGGCTGAGGGAACTGGGGATGTTTAGTTTGGAGAAAAGGCAGCTGAGGGGAGACCTCACAGCTCTCTACAACCATCTGAAAAGAGGTTGTAGTGAGGTGGGTGTTGGTCTCTTCTCCCAAGTAACAAGTGATAGAACAAGAGGAAATGGTCTCAAGTTGCATCATGGGAGGTTTAGATTGGATATTAGGAAAAATGTTTTTATTGAAAGGGTTGTCAGGCACTGGAACAGGCTGCTCAGGAAAGTGGTTAAGTCACCATCCCTGGAGGTATTTAAAAGATGTGTAGATGTGGTGCTTAGGGACATGGTTTAGTGGTGGACTTGGCAGTGCTGGGTTAAGGGTTGGACTTGATGATCTTAAAGGTCATTTCCGACCAAAATGACTCTATGATTCTGTGATTCTATAATTTTAAGAATCTGAGGGAAAATAAAAAATAAAGTAACTTATATTAAGGGAGGAAAGAATATTTGGGAGGGACCGTGAGATAAATTATTGTTGTACAATGCTGAGTGTGTGGAAAAAGAAAAGGAACAATATGTGACTGGCCATTTGTGAGCGAATGGTCATCTGTGATGGTGATCATCCTGAGTTTGGGTACCAAGAAGGAAATATGCATATATGGGAGACAGGTTTAGGCTGCAAGCTGTTTGTCAAATGGTTGTCATAATCTGGTTTTTGTGCATGTCTGGATGAGAAATAGTGGTAGTGGGAGACAAAATTCTAGAGGGATGGAGAATTCATACAGGATCATAGCATGGGTCAGCTTGGAAGGACTTTCAGAATGTCTTCTAGTCCAGCCTCCTTCTTACATGGAAAAGAAGTTTGTTGCAAACATTTTGATGAAATTGTGCTTATTTGTTTTTGTGGCACAGACTGAGAAGCAGATTTTTTACATACTCAGTTTTCTTGGAAATGTGTAATTTTCAAACTTCTCCGCTTTTGTATACATGTATAAAGTAAGATATGGCACATAAAATAGTATAGATACACACATATATATGTATTTTAACTAATACCATGAAAGTACACAGACATTCAAATTTTCTGGCTTAGGCTATTTTTTTGCAGTAAGAACGAGGTTTGCGTTACCATCACCCTTACTTCTCCTCATAATGCATCTAATGCGTGTACAGCTGTTTGTTTCCAGCCTTCTGAGCCAAAATAAATACTTTTGTGCAATTTAATGGGTGTTGGAAAACACTGAGGAACAGGTAAGGTGAAAAAGAAGTGCATCGAAGAAGCACATTTTGACCTTTGTGGAAGGACCATAAAAATGTAGTTAATGTCCATTCTTCTCTACATGAAAATTAAATTTCCTAATGTTATTATAGAGCTTACCAACTGTACTTACCTACGCAGTCTCCTCAAGGTTATGCATCAATATTGCTGCACTTCAGTTCAAAAGTATCAGCTCTTTCAGCAGAAAAACTGCAGTTTGTGTAAAGAACTTTCACTGCTAATAAAACAGAGGATTTAATTTTAATAAATATATAGTTGATTAGTCCCAGTTAAGATATTATTGTGACTTAGTGATGCCATCCATAATTCAGCTATGTTAGGTTGTTGTTTTTATAGGCATAATAAACCTCAGTGTGCTGAAAGAGTGGTGTTATAGTTCAGGACAGCAGATTTCAGCTCATTATGTTGTAGATTTATTTTTTTTTACTGTGTATATATCAACTAGTTTCAATGCCTGTCATATTGGTTGTCTAGTGACAGCAATCAGCATTCTTTCAGAGAGGTGACATTGCATACAACTCAAGCATTATACAAATTATCTGGTAATAAAACTTTTCAAGACCAATAATGGATACCTATGTGATGTTATTTACAAATTGAAATTTTCTAGAAAACTGGAGGAAAGTTTTTGACCTTGATGGCAGCTGAGTTAATGGAATTTTACAGCACTAATGGAGATTGGAGAAAGGAAGATCTCTTGCAAGCATCACAGCTCAGTTGTTGGTAAAACATGGGGGTGAGAGAGATTTCCAATGAGGTTGAAGGGAGTTTTAAAAATGCAGATGTACAGTGGAAATCATGAGCTACTAATACCAGTACATCCCAAATCTTTGTGCAATGACAACAAAAGAATTTAATTACTATTTTTTTTACTGGGTACAAACTGAATCTATTTTAGACTAATTTTAGATGGGTAGTAATGATGGGGAGAGATCTGGTTGCATTTAAAGTGAAAACAGAGTAGTTCCCTCTCTGTCCCCACCTGGTTGAAAAATCCAAATTAAATATAAGACTAAACAAAGCTGTTTCAACAAATAAAGTTTTGGAGGGCTTTTTTAATACCATAAGAACAGATGTTTGTAGATTAGACATAGTAATTGAGGTATTCAAAGAGACTGAATAAATCAGAGGCTTAAAGATGACAGAGATCTGGAATTTTTCTAACTCAGAGATGTAAGAACCGTCTGGAATTTACATTCCAAGTATGCAAGTGGGATGAGTAACCACCTCAGCAGTCAGAGTAAAAACAAGGAAAAGGTCTGTTTGGAACGGAGAAGGGAAATGAATGAATGAAGAAAGCTATCATTTGGAGACTTGGAGGTACAGGACTTAAGGAAGATTTCCCAAACCTAACCCAGAGCTAGATCTTGCAAAAGAGTAAAACAAAAAGCAAAAGGCCATTTTGTGATGTAGGTACCACATTGCAACTAGCAGAAAAAGTAGGTGGACCCTCAAAGCACTGAGGTTATATGTAATCTAGCTACATTCACCAGCCTAATGAGTAATTTTGCAGCTTTCTGAATACAGATGTAGAAAGGAAAGTCACAGCCAAGTTTGCTGTTAGAAGAGAATATACACACAGAAAAGAACCACGTCATGGAAGCTAAAACTAGGAGAGCTCAACTTGCTCATATGGGGAAGCATTGCTGACTAATTAAAGAACTAGGGCATGAAGTTTTATGGCTTGTGGTACAGATTTTAATCCATCTGTTGTACTGTGGTGCTGCTCCATAGCAAGCTTCACTTTTCTTGTTATAAACAATATATATGCAATTATTCTGCTAGTCTGCAATAACACACAAAGCTTTAATTATTTAATTTTTTAATAATTAACACTATGGATATGAATGTCAAATGGGACAAAATGCAGTCCAAGTTTACTAAAGGTAGAACATGAGTGTTCTTTAATGGTAGCAGAAAGTTTAGGGGTAGAAACCTCATAGATTCAATTTATTTCTGTCTCAGTAAAGAACTTGACAATGTAGTACTGGTGAGATTATTAGTTGAAATGGGAAATAGTACAAGAAATGTAAGTTAAAGAAGTGGTTATTAGGTCTGTGTTAGAAGGAGCACTTTGAGACTAGAGAGGGATATCCAGTGGGGCTCCTTACACCAGCATTTGGCCCCATCTTACTTAATAAAGGCAATGGCACAGAAGTTAGAGCATATTCATTAAATTTGCAGATGGCAAAACCTGAGTGGCCTTGCTCACAATGAGCCATATCAAGAATTTAATTCCTAGAAAGCAGGTAACCTAGCAGCCTGGAGTAATAGAAGTTAAATTTAATACAAAATACAAGGCCATGTCCTTAGGGATTAATAACCAGATTTTCTGGTATAACGGAGATTCATCCAGGGAAACTGATAGATTGGAGAAGCCTAAGTGTAATTATTAATCATGATCATGATGAACCACAGGTATGATGCAGCTAACTGAACAATAAATGCAAGGCTGTAGAATATTTTCAGTAGAGAATGAAAAACAGGGAATTCTGTAAAGTACCACTGCATCTGGCATACTGTGTACAATTCTATTTCAGAACAAGAACCGAGAAAAGTGAAAAAAAAATCAGTGGACTGAGCAACAGATCTTACCAAATTTTAGAATTGGTTAATGGAAGAAAGGCTGAGTGGCATATGATTAGTGTCTATGTATAGATTACATCCAGATAATTGTAGAATCAGAATGCATATCTAAACAGAACCAGTTATCTTTCTGACATAGGTGCATCACAAACATACCTGTAACAGCTGATCTACCCAATAAAGCATTTGGTAACCCAGCCAGCTTATCGTAACTGAAAATCTTACAGATAGAACTTGAATCAGTAAATAAATCATCAGATTTATTAAAGCATTAAAAAAAAGGCCCGTCAGCTTTTGTAAAAATATTAGCAGTAAACATCTCCGAATAAGGTAATACTATATATGTTTTAATTTATCTGTTGAAGGAAAAATGTTTGCACCTCTTCTGTGTAATTTTATATCCCTGTTGTATTAATAATTTAAACTGCTAAGGCTTT